CTTGCAACATGGGGCCGTGCATTGTCATGCTGCAACATGAGGTGATGGTCGTGGATGAATGGCACAACAATGGGCCTCAGGATCTCGTTGCGGTATCTCTGTGCATTCAAAATGCCATCAATAAAATGCACCTGTGTTCGTTGTCCATAACATATGCCTGCCCATACCATAACCCCATGTTGGCGCGGCCGGATTCAAACACACCTGGAGGTCTGCACTGAAGAGGCTTTCCTTTTCCTCGTTCTCTCCTGACAACCACTCATAATTTAATTCAAATGGTATTTATAGGGATGCACCGAAATGAATATTTGTGGCCAAAGCCGAAGCCGAATAATATTAAACGCTTGGCTGAATACCGAGTTTACCGAGTTTTTCATTAGTTTTTGCAGATGAACCCCCTCCAGATTAGTGTTGTCACGGTACCAAAATTGGGACCCACTGTACGATACCAATGAAAATATCATGATTCTGAGTAGTATCACGATACCACAGTGAAAATGAGGCAGATGTGCCTTTTGTCATTTATAAAAAGATAAATCACTTTTCTATAATACATCAATGATATTTCAATGAAATAAATTACTTATTGACTTATTCATACTTCAAAAACAGCATCAATAAGTGATTAACATAGGGGGGATCAAAATAAAATAATAAGAATCAACCAGCCACCCTCCTCCCCTGACAAGTAAAGAACAGTCCCTAAAGTGCGGTGAGGTTTGTGGGCCGTGAACGGCTCGTTTCTCCTCTGACACGTCACATACCTGTGTTCGGCTGGCTCGGCTGTTCAGGTACTTTTGGGCAGTCCACACGCCAAGAAGAGGATATTATTGGAGCCGACTTCTCTGTCGCCGGTAAGCTGATGGCCGCCGTATTTGACAGGAATATATTACTGTCTGTGTCTGTGACCCCCGTTCAACCCACAATCGGTGGGATTTGCCTTTTGTTTCTGCTGCTGGTTGAAATCTGTAGGCTGCTCGCACAGTGTGCTGAATGATTTAAGCCTATTTTGCTCTCTCAAAACTATTTTTAGTCGCAAATGCGAGTGTGGTGACGGACGGATCGCCATACTGCCCACATTTTACTCCGCCCGTCACAGCACGCTGTTTGATTGCGTTATCAAAACACGCCGCTATTATTCAGCCTTGCTTTTAACTTATTCCACCAAATACCGAATGTGTTTTTTGCAGTATTTGGTTACTATTATTTATCATTATTATTATTATATTATTATTATTATTGTTGTTATTTTCAAATTTCAAAAAAAAAAAACTTCACCACTGTATTTTTTTAATTTTTACTTTTTTTTGTTAGCATTTCAGCTGTATTTAAGCCAGATTGAAGGCTTTGGGTCCGTCACTCTCCTTAATTTATTGTTGAAACGGTTAAATAACAGGATCCGGCATAAACTCCATTAACTGTTAACAGCAGCTCAACAATCAGTCCTTCATCTCGGAAAAACAGTGGTTTCAAAACTGCGCTATTACCTGTAGCCACCGGGTCAGTTTGCTTCGCAGGGGAGGAGACCTTTACTGATAAATTGCCCATAAAATCACATTAACAACATACTGAAGGCATCCTTAAATTTCACTATTTGACCTCCGTGGTCCTCTCCGTTCCTCTCACCCACACTTGAGCACCTGTTCTAGGATACACAGTGTTGGCCCGCCCGGCCTGACCTCCGCGCTCCTCTCCGCTCCTCTAAGCTGCACTTGAGCATCCGTTCAGACCGCGTAGGTCAGGCCGGGGGGCCGCGGCGGTCAGGCCCGAGCGGGACCGTAGCTCATGATAACCAGATAAGCAGATAACATCAAATAGGGAAAATAAAATGAAAACACCACAGTTTTAGCCTGTTAGCTAACATGAGCTGAACTAGCTAACAGCTAACGAAAGATAACGTTAGCTGGTGGGGACATGTGCTACATACACCCAGTCGTGCCTCACCAGGAACCTCTTTTAATGGTCACAGAACAACATAACACAACAACATAGCTATTTTCTGCCAATTTATTCCAGTTAGCTTACCTGAAACCAACTGCGATAAGATGCTGTGTCCTGCAAGCTCAGTTCCAAACAAAGACCGTGGAGATGCTTTCTGTGGCGACCTCTGTATGTGGGCGGGTATATTCTATGGCTCTGGGCCGACCCAAAGCCGATGTAACAGAGACGTTTGATGAGCTGGGACAAAAGAGTATTAAATTTAAAAATATCATATATATATATATATACGTATATGGCGCATGTGTGTAAATTAACAGTCCCTTTAT